GGAAATGTTTTGAACATTTGTGAGTGTGAATGATGGTTCAGCAAATTTCATTCAGGTGATTTTAGCCTTGTGATGGCAGGGGCCGACATGTTGGAATTGATATTGATGCTCTGAAGACGCTTGTTGAGTCTAACCCAAGGCAACACACACATGAAATAACCCTGAAATTGCATGTCTCTTATGAAACAACGCGTAAACATCTAAGGAATATCGGAAACTCCATAAAGAAGGTGCTTGGGTGCCTCACGAACTCCCTGATGATCATCGCTTCCAAGTGTGAACGTTGCTTCCTCTCTTTTGGCATGTAATGTGCGTGAACCATTTTTGGACAAAATTGATATCATTGATGAAAAATTGATTCTTTATGTGAATGGTGGGACATCAAAGGAGTAATTAATTTCAAACTCCTCAATCCACAGTGAACTGTCAATGCAGAAATCTATGGTCAGCAATTGGAAGGCTTAAATCAAGCCCTTCATCAGAAACGCCCTTCACTTGTTAATCGGAAAGGTGTTGTTCTCCATGACAATGCACGTCCACATGTGGCAAGTTTGGTGCAACACAAGATTATGAAGTTGGGTTGGGAAGTTCTCCCCCACCCACCATATTCTTCAGATATGGCACCATCAGATTACCATCTTTTTCGTTCGCTGCAACACCATCTTAATGGGAAAATGTATGCAAATGTGGAAGGTGTTAAAGAGGACATAGACATGTTTTTTGTTTTAAAGTCAAGTGATTTCTTTAATCAGGGCATTAACAACCTGATTGTAAGATGGAAAAGCATCATTGATGAGAATGGAGACTATTTCATGTAATAAATGTTTTGTTTTGATATATAAGTTGTTTGGTTTTTTCATCCAAAAAAATGACATTAATTTCTTGATGACCTAATAACTTAGTTATAGGAAATGTATTAAGCCAAATGTTAAAGAAGTTAGTTCTTTCAGGAACACTAACATGATTTAAGTTACTTTGAAATAAATGTAATTTCAACAAACAATATTCAAAGCTTTCATTCTCTAATCAACAATAAGTTCAACTTCTTTGTTCTAAGAAATATAATCCACTGAAGCTGAATCCATAGTCCAGTAATGTGAGTTATCAATGATGATAATAATAAAATATATTTCAGATTCTTAATGGACAAATCAAGAAGAATGGGGGAAAAAAAACATCTGTAGTTTGTGTAAATTTAGGCTTATTGATTGCTAATATTTTGCCAGCTTTTGGTGCTCAATCCATGACTTGTAAAACATTTCTTAGTAGAATACATTATATCAGCTTTCAGAAAAAACAACTAGTGCCACTCTTTTTGTGGCATGGTGCTTAGTGTTTTTAGGTGCTCCATTTGACAGTTTACTGTCATCTGTATTAATTGATGACTACACATTCAAATTTAACGTCGTTCATAAAAATCTGAACTGTGTATGAGATGCTCCTCGTGTATTTATTTTTAAATTAGTTTTTCTTTGTTATATGCTGAAGTGCTTAATTGTATGCCAAAGTGTTTGAAATTACAAAAGTTGTTACTGTTGTTCATGGCATAAACATTGGTGAATTTTCACTTGATTTTTCTTATTTCGAGGAATAATTCATATCTGAAATCCAGCACAAATTTTGTTATAGCTTTAGGCTATGGCTATCAATTGCCAAACAGTAGAGTCCATTTTGAGATTTATTATTAATAGGAAGGATGTTGTATTAAAAAATTCCATTTGTCTCAAATGATGTCATCAAAAGAATCTGTTTTCATCCTTTATTTACAAACATCTTGAAACTGTTGTGTGTATGTGGGTTCAGTTAAATTTGTCTTTCTGTTTCGGTGCTCATATATAATTTAGTTTAAATTACACACATACACACACAGAATTTAGAAACACCTTGTTTTAAAAGCTGAAAAAATTTCCATTTAAACACTAGAAAGAAAAATGAAGCATCTTTAATAGTGTATTTGAGTTCACAGACATTTTTTCAGAAGTTGTGTTATAAGTTGACTTAGATTTGAAAAGTGAGTAGTACCTAAAACTATGATAACTTTTATCTGCTGATAATGTTTAAGTAAGAATATTAAGTGTGTACAGTATACTATTGCTTATTGTTTACTCAGTGTTAGCTAGTTCACCATTTTTGTATAGTGTACATGGGTTCTGTATAAAGACACATTGAGTGAATGATTGACATTGATAAACCTAGAAGATTAATGGCTTTCACTGTCATGAACTGTTGAGAGCCTATTGTAGTGTATTCAGAACATGTCATCTTACCAGGAAATGAAGATTAACAGATATTGGGTTATTAGAGTAATGGCTGTAGTTACATTTACAAGTACTAAAAAAAGAAATCAACCAGTGCATACTTAAGGAATGCTTAGCTCTGTCTTTTGAGTCTCAGGATCATTAATTCTATGATAGTTATAATACATTCATACTTTTGCCAATCCTATAGATATTACACTTCTGTTTTTATGAAACTTAAGCTTTGAGGGGAGAGGGTTGCTATTCAACCCCTGTACCAAGCTTCTGAGAGATAAAATGTCTATAGAGAGTGATATTTAGACTTGAAATTCATAGTACTTTCTTGTCACTGATAATTTACAGAACTAAAAATGTTTGCTCTGAGAATCAAAAATAGTTTGATCTGTCTGTTCAACTGGTATGACACTCATTTTTAAAAGAAAGGGCATTGCTACAAACTGAGTTTATAGGACAGCAAACATTGTTTTATATATACTGAATGAAGAATCAGTCATGTATATTTTAGCTGCACTAATTGCTCCATCTGTAATATCCTGAACATTGCAATAGAGTAGAAAATGTCAGCTGTACATAAAACATGTTAATTACTGGAGTGTTTTTAACAGGAAATGTATTGCTGGTTAAACTATTTGTGTGGTTGCTATGAATATTCCATATTGTCCACATGAAAGTACAAATGTAAATGTAACAGATAAATTTAATTATATATTTATTTGGTTATCAGAATAATTGAATTATTAATGTATTTATATGGTTATCAGAATGATTGAATTATTAATGTATTTATATGGTTATCAGAATGATTGAATTATTAATGTATTTATATGGTTATCAGAATGATTGAATTATTAATGTATTTATATGGTTATCAGAATGATTGAATTATTAATGTTTTTATATGGTTATTAGAATGATTGAATTACTAATGTTTTTCTGTGGGTATCAGAATGAATTGCTTTTATTTCTATTATA